AAATTAAATTAAATGGGACAGATTAACAGGAGGAAAAAACAAAGTTTAATTACATACACACAGGGAACTAACAGTGAAATTGAGACCCAAAGAAATAAATCAAGGCCAGTAGTTTTTATCCTTTCTAGACAGAGGTAATAAACTTGTGAGAAGTTGACAGGAAAAAAATAAACATATGTCTAGGAGCTTCAATTAGTAAGGAATTCTAAATAGAAATTGGGTTGGGGTAGTAAATTATTAGAAAAGTAACTAGGGTTGTTTATACAGCCTTCTTAGCTCTAATTTCCTATCTATGGTGATAGGGATGTCCCTTTACCTCCTGGCACATGGAGGGTATCTTTCACATGGGAGATTTATTTCCTGCTATCTGGAGACAGAGGCAGGAGAGTCAGAGTATTCTTCTTGTACTGGCTTTTTCTTAAGTAACTTTTAATTCAAAATAATCAATTTGCCAAAGTGGGACATTTCGGGCAGCCTGCCCTTGGCCTCTACATAGACAGCAGATAAGTAAAAAATAGAGGACTTAACATCACAAATCAACTAGATTAAAGAGCAATATACAGAACACTCTATCCAACAACCAATTGTCTCCTGTATATGGAGCATTTTCCAGGATAGACCACGAATCAAGGTAGGCCATAAATCCAGTCTCAGCAGATTTTTTTAAAAGATAGATATCATAAAAAGTATCTTATCTGACCACAAGTAGATGAAATTAGAAATCAATAATAGAAGGAAAAATTAGAAAAGTAAGATATGTGTGGAAATTAAACAACACAGCTTAAAACAACCAATGGTTAAAAAATAAATCACAATGAAATTGAAAAAATTTGAAGAAAAAAATAAAATGGAAACACAAGATCACTAAAAGTTATGGGATGCAATGAAAATAATACTGACATGAAAACTGATAGTTCTAAACACTTATTTTAAAGGACAAGAAAGATCTCAAATCAATATGTTAGTTTCACAGCTTGAGAAACTTGAAGAACAAACTATATACAAAGCTAGTAGAAGAAAAGAAATGAAGATCAGAGCAGAGATAAGTGAAATAGAAAACAGAAAAACAGAAAAAAATCAACACCACCAAAAGGTGACTCTTTGAAATGATTAACAAATTTGATGAACTTTTAGTTACACAGATTGTTAAAAAGTAGAAAGAGGGAGAACTTAAATTAGTAAAATCAGAAATGAAATGGAGACATTACTACCAATTTAAAGAAATAAAAATGATTATAAGAGGGCACTACGAACTATTGTATATCAACAAGTGGATAACTAAATGAATTTTCAAATGCCTAGAAACACAAAATATACTGAGACTGAATCACTAGAAATGGAAAATCTGAATAGACCTATAACTAGTATGGAGATCAAATCAGAAATCAAAAACTTCTTTAAAAAAAAAAAAAACAAAAAACCTCAGGATCAGATAGTTACTCTGGTAAATTTTAACAACACTTAAAGAATTAACGATCCTTTCCAAAATGTTCCAGAAAGCTGAAGAGGAAGGAACATTTTCTTACTCATTCTGTGAAGCAAGCTTTACCTTAATACCAAAACCAGATAAAATCCCTAAAAGAAAATAAACTATAGACCAGTATCTCTTATGAATATTCATGTAAAAAATCTGAACAATATACTAACAAGCTAAATTCAGGTGCATATTAAAAAGGATTATATACAACGACCAAGTGGGATTTATTCCTGGAATGCAAAAATGGTTGACATCAATCAATGCAGTACACTAAATTATCAGAATGCATAAAACAACAACAGCAAAAAAAAAAAAACCTATTGGTCATCTCAATTGATGTAGAAAAAGCATTTGACAAAATTCAACAACTTTTCATGATAAAAATACTTGACAAATTAGGAATAGACAGAAACTACTGCAACAAATAATGGCCATATATGAAAAACCCAGTTAACATCTAAAGACTAAAACTCAAAAAAAAAAAAAAAAAAAAAAAAACCCAAAAAAAAAAAAAAAAAGACTAAAACTCTTTCTCTAAGATTAGAAACAAAACAGTGATATTCACTTTTGCCCCTTCTTTTCAATATAGTATTGAAAATTATAGCCAGAGAAATTAGGAAAGAAAAATAAACAAAAGGCATCTAATTGGAAAGGAAGAAGTAAAATTATCTCTGTTCACAGATGATATTATCTTATATTAAAAACACTAAAGGTCGCACACACACACACACACAGATAAAATGACAATAAAATTCAGCAGAGTTGCAGGACATAAAAATCAACACTCCAAAATAAGTTACATTTCTATACACTAACAATGAAAAATCTGAAAAGGAAATTTTAAAAATTCCACTTACAATCATAGCAAAAATAATAAAATATTTAGGAATTAACCTAACCAAGGATATGAAAGACTACAATGAACACTACAAAATATAGCTGAAAGAAATTACAGAAGACTTATATCAATGAAGAAACATTTCCTAGTCAGTGATTGAAAGACTTAATATTGTTATGATGTCAATTCTACTCAAAGGGATATGCAGATTTTTTAAAGATTTTATTTATCTATTATTTGAGAGAGAGAGAGAGAAAACGAGAGAGATCAGCAGGAGACATAGACTCCCGGTCAAGCAGGGAGCCAATGTGGGATGCGATCCCAGGTCTCCAGGATCACGACCTGAGCAGAAGGCAGTTGCCACCCAGGTGCCCAAGGGATATGCAGATTTAATGTAAACCTTATCAAAATTCCAATGACATTATTTTATAGAAACCAAAAATACATTTTCTCAAATTCACATGAATCTCAAAGAATACTGAATAGCTGAAACAATCTTGAGAAAGAAAAATGAAGCTGGAGGACTCACACTGATTTGTGAACTTACAACAGAGCCACAATAAACAAAAGAGTGTGGTATAGGCATTAAAAAAAAAAAAAAGCCCAGAAATAAATCCCTGCATATATGGTCAAGTGACTTACCAAAGTGTGCGAAAACCATTCAGTGACAGATAAAAGTAGTCTTTTCCACAAATGGTGTTTGGAAAATTGGACATTCACATGCAAAAGAGTGACTTTGAACCTTCACCTAACTATATGCGAATATGAACTCAGCATAGGTCAAAGATGTAAATGTAAGAGCTAAAACTATCAGACTTGAAGAAAACAACATAGAAGAAAGTTTCATGAGTTTGAATTTGACATTGATTACTTGGATATGACACCAAAAGCACCAGCAACAGCAAAAAAAAAAAAAAAATAGACAAATTGAACTTCATCAAAATTTAAAATTTTGTGCATCAAAGGGCACTATCAACATAGTAGAGAAGCAACATGAATAATAGGAGAAAGTATTTTCAAATCATATATCTGGTAAGGTATTAATATCCAGAATATATATTTAAAAAACCCTATCATTCAAAAATTGAAAAAAAGAAACAACCCATTTCAAAACTGGTCAAATCTGTATAGACATTTCTTTAAGAAAGTATACAAATGGGGGCACCTGGGTGGCTCAGTGGGTTAAAGCCTCTGCCTTCAGCTCAGGTCGTGGTCTCAGGGTCCTGGAATCAAGCCCCACATCAGGCTCTCTGCTCAGCAGGGAGCCTGCTTCCTCCTCTCTCCCTGCCTGCCTCTCTGACTACTTGTGGTCTCTGTCTATCAAATAAATAAATAAAATCTTAAAAAAAAAAAAAAGGGAAGTATACAAATGGCCAGTAAGCACATGATGTGATGCTCAACATTACTAATCACTAGAGAAATGCAAATCAAAACAACAGTGGCTATTATAAAAACAAAACAATTGTAATTGGGTATTATAAAAACAGCAAAAATAGAAAATAGGTATTGTTGAGGAAGTGGAGAAATTGGAACTCTTGCTCTTAGGAACGCAGAATGCTGAAGTCACTGTGGAAAGCAGTAGGCCAGTTCCTCAGAAAATTAAACATATAAAAAAATTAAATATATAATTACCCTATGATCCAAAAATTCTACTTCTGGGTATACACAGAAAAGAACTAGAAGCAGGGGCTTGAACAGGTATTTGTATGCCAATGCTCATAGAAACATTATTCACAGTAGTTAAAAGGTAGAAATAACCCAAGTGTCCACAGATACATGAATGCATAAACAAATTTTGGCATATACATAAAATGGAATGTTATTCTGCCTTAAAAAGGAATAAAATACTAATCACATGCTATAACATGTATGAACCTTGGAAATATTATAAGTAAAACAAGACAGACACAAAGGGAGAATTATTATATGATTCTATTGATATGAGATACCTAGAACAGTCAAATCCTTTAGCGTCAGAATTAATACGCTTAAACAAGGTTAAGTGTAATTTTATATTAGGCATACCTTACCACAATTAAAAAAGATAATTCATTGTTAATGTAAAAGACAATTGAGTGACAACCTATGTAGAAGTAATGTGTGACAACAGCAAAAACAACAGAAAAATAAAGAAGTATATTATAAGATTCATATGCCATACATGAAATGGCATAATGTTAATTAAAGGTAGGCTATATAATACTTTAAAGATATCTATTTTAAACTCTAGAACAACTAGTAAAAACAAAATAAAATAGTATAACAAGTAATACAGGGAAAAATGAAATCAGAATAAAAAATTGTAAGTCTTTTTAAAAACCTCAATTGCTTCAATTGCCAAGTATTGTAAGTGAAGGAGTCAGGCTAAGTGTAAAAATAAATAGACTACATTGTTCTAAGAAGCCCATTCCCAATATAAGTGGAGTGGGGTAGGGTGAAAGGACAGAAATGTATGCCCATTAATTGTTAAATCTGCTTTCAATTTTTTTCTCTTTTTAAGAAAAGCCAGAGATCTCGAGTATTTTCTCACTCATTTCTTTGCTTACTTATTTATTTATGTGAAACATGGTTTTTAATTGTTTTCTCTAATTTATTTTAAAACAGTACTGGCTAATTAAAACATGGTCATAGTTTATATGTAGCCTTCAGATGACTGCTATGGGAGTTCTAATTTAAATAAGGTGTGTGCTCTATTTGGCAGCACATATACTAAAATTGGAATGATATGAAGATTAGCATTGCCCCTACACAACAATGACACACAAATTCATGAAGTGTTCCATACTTAAGAATGAATGAATGAATGAATGAATGAAATGAAAAGAAATAAATGATGAATTAAAAATACAGAGTATGCTTTCTGTGGATGGAGCATTTATTACATAGCACACCCCATACCTTCTACCCTTGTTCCTTTGTTCTGTCTACCCTTGTTCTTGTGCTTTTTCTGATATTTTCTGTCCGAATACTCTTTCAGAGTCCAAATCAAGTGCCATCTTTCCCTGGAATTTTCCTTCTTCTTCCAGTCAAACTTGAGCTTTCGGTTTTCTTAACAATAAAGACTGCCTTGTCTCTGTTTGGGCAAAGCACTTAAAAATCTGCTTTGAATACCCAAGAATAACCTTATTGTTCCATTAATGAAATAATTCAAACGTCTATTAAAGTCCCAGCATGGGCTGGCACTGTGATGTTCTTACCTGCTTTTAGCCTGGATTTTCCTCCTCCCAACACTTTTTCTCTATACAGGTGAAATCTCTTCTAGAATTATGTCCTTCCCCGTCCAACAAAACTATTCAGAAGCTAGTTCTTATTTGCAGAAGGAAGTTAACTCCTTCCCATTTCCTGTCTTCTTGTACCTGGCCCCAGTACATCTGCCTCATCTTACCTCTTGCTTTCTTTACCCTGATTCTTCATAAATACAAAATTACCTACAGTCCCACAAAATTGCCTTTTTCTGTACAAGTTCGCTCTTAGTTTAGGACATCCTCCACTCAACTTGTCAAGCTCTGCTTCCTCATGGTGATATTGGTTCTCCATTTCAGCCATCTCTACTACACCTGCCCACATGAACAGAGCCTCCCTTCTCGGCCTCTGCTTTGGATGGCACAGAGGGGGTGTTATTGGGGCAAGTGCTCCACCCATTGCCCAATTTCCCCATGTTCAGCTATTTTAGGCTCTCACACTGGAAACTAAATTCTTAATGAGACTGGTTAACCCCAAGGTTATGTGGAACTGGGGTGCCCTCTACTGCTTTCCAGAACTGTAACTATTTTGCTTTATGTCTTTCAATAAAAGGGAAAATGCTAATGGAACAAATGGGAATTCAGCTGATAGACTGTTATTTCTCAGGGCAAACACTGAATTTTGTATCAAAACAAATAAGCACTATTAAAATGGTAGTAAGTATTCCTCTAAATATGAGTTTCTGTATAATTTTGATATGTCATTATTTCACTATCCCTGTAGGTCCATCTAACCTAAGGCTCGGTTATATGTTCATAAAAATTAAGAAAAGAGACTGGGTTATCATGTCATCATATGGAAGAGGTAAGTATCTAAGCCACATGCTTAAATAAACTTAAAAGATTAGATTTTTTAAGATAATTTCCATTATGTTCCATATGTTCAATATGCACTGAAATTAAACTAATAGAAAGCTTACCCAAAACATAGATATTTTAAGATTGATTCATTAAAAGAACATAAATTCACTTATAGTGGATATTTCATTACTTATCAATGATATCTTGATAAGGTGTTATTGTGAAGATTTAAGGTCCATAACTCTCACTATTCCCAAAGTAATCTCTGAGTTCTCCACATTTTCTTTTCTTGCAAAAATTTCTGACTGACTTTGTTTCATAATCTGGAAAGCTTTAAATTCACTAGTCATTTGAACTCTTTCATTGTCTTATGCTGTTTAATCCTGAGAGAAAATTAGCTGTCACTGGTATACCTAAATCTAGAATTCTAACACCTAAAAGGTGAAAATTGTATTAAGTTGATTCTGATTGTTTTTAATTTAATGATTTTGGCTGTCAACAAGCCTATCTCAGTGATAGGCCTTTTGAAAAATTAGAAAATGAAGAAATGTATGTGTTCAAGTTAACCAGTTTAGGATCAGAAAAGTCTTTCAAAATGAACATCTCATCTAATTTATATTTCATGCAGAACCACTAAAATCAGAATTGTTTAATATTGTGGTAAATGTATATCCAGAGTAACACCTCCCGTATATTTGCAACATTTCATACATTCTTTTTATGTCTTGTTCAGAAATATATTTAAAATTACTCATTTTTGGAGAAACTCAGAATTTTTGAAATGTGCAAAAGTACCAGCAGGTAACTTAGATTTGGAACACCTGGTATTAGGCACAACTGAAGAATAAAGTAACTTCACACACTGAAAGATTAAAGATCCTTTCTGGAGCAGAGTTAGAGACTTGTATTTTCTCACAATTATTCTGTTAAAAGTGACTATTGACAATGCAGTGTCACAAAAGCTGTGGAACAATAGTATAAAGCTCATCATTTTCTTGGTGGTTTAACTTTAAATCTTGATCATTTTCTCCCAGATGTTTTCATAGTCAAGAGGCATCTACCTCCTGAGGTACTGGGCTTGCTTTTTGCATCCATCTTGTTTGTGCTGCTTGAAGGGACCCTATTTCCTTCCAGTTGTCTTTAGTGCCACCTCGCAGGGTCTGTACCACTGAGACAGAGACAGACATAACTCCACAACCCCAGTACTGAAACCCAAGTATGCATGGGTACCAGCAGCAGTGCAGCGCACCAATGTCCCGGTCCCAGGAGCTCTCCTTGGGGGACTTCCCGTTGCTTAACCACAGAGCTGCTCTCAGGTCTTCAGACCCACAACCCCTGCTATAGACACGGTTTTTTGTTTGTTTGTTTGTTTTGTTTTGTTTTGTTTTTGTGTGTGTGTGTCAAAAAATAACACTTCGGGGCGGGGGGGATGTATATTGCGATAAAGTAAGTGTTTAATTCTAATCTAATCCAGTTTTGCTCTTTCCTTCCCGTCGCAATGAATTACAGGTAAAAAAGGAGCCTCACTAAGGAGTTTCTTCCTCAAGAGAGGAGGAGATCAGGGCATGGAGGCCTGTGTTGAGGACTGAAGAGGAACACCAGATTAGGGAGGTACTCAAGCTTGGACCTAAAAAAGAAAAACTTGGCCCAACGACCTCTGGCTACCGCTTTGCTGACAGTCCCCCTCCACCTTTGCTGTAAAAAGGGGAAACCAGTGGTTATTACAGGAGGCACCAAATATGCTCCTGAAGGCCATCAAGAAACTTCAGATACATGGCCTTTTCCAAACCAGGCCAAGCCGCGGGCCCTCAGCCCTCCCCCTCTGCTGAGCCGGCCCGAGGGCGCATTTGGTGAGAGTCTGGCGGCCTCTACCGGAGTGCCTCTGCAGAGGAACGTTCGTCAAACCCAGAGACGACATGTGGCGCTCAGGAGAGGTGAGAGCGAGCGCGCGAGTGCACTGGGGGCGCGGGGGGATCTGCAGCGGGGCAGCGCGCGGCCTCGGGCGCGGCGCAGAGCGGAGCCGCAGGGCGGCGGCGGGAGCGCGGGGCGGCGGATCCGCTCGGCCGGGGAGAACTGGGGAAGTTCGCGCTGGCAGCATGGGGCGGTGACGCCGCACCGGCCTTCCGCGCCTGCCAGCCGGGCGAGAGCAGGCGGAGGAGGAGGAGGACGATGCACCCTCGCCGACGGCTCGCCTTCCTGGCAGCGGGGTAAGAAGATGCGGGCGAGGGTGAGAGAAAGGGCGGCCCCGGCCGGGCGCGCACCCCTCCCTTCGGCGCTCTGGAGCCGCGAACTGCATGGCCCGGGAGGGGAGGTGGAGAGCAAGCGGGGCGCCGCAGGCGGCCGGGAGCGCAAACTTTCCCTCGGCGACTGCGGGGGCAAAGCCAGCGCGGGAGGGCAGGGGCGGCCTGAGCGGTACAGCCTGGCCGGACGGGGCACCAGGGCTCACCGCGGGCCCGCTGGTAGGACTTGGGGTGTGGGGACACACGCCGCCGCCGTCCCTGGAGCCGGAGGGGCGAAATCGCCCACCTGGAGGACCCCGCCAGCCCCGGGGCTCTGAGGCGCGGGGTGTCCCGGCGCTGCTTGCGGGGTGGGCGCGGACTCCGCGGGGGTGTCGCGGGTGGGTTGGGCGGGCTGCTAGAGGCCGGGGGTCTCGGAGCCGCCGCTGCACAGCGCGCTCCTCGCCGAGGAGGCTCCGACCTGAGGCTAAAGCAGTGGAGGTGTGTGAGGGCCGGAACGAGCGAGGAAGGGTCGGGGAGCGGTAGGCGCTGGGCGCGCTGCTGCGGACAGGGCGGGAGGCGGCCGCTGCCCGGCCGCCGGCGCCAGGTTGGCTAGGCTGCGGCTCCGCAATGCCGCCCCCGCGCCCACCTGCGCCCGCAAGCCCCCACGGTGGTCTGGGGGCCGCGGAAGCGGAGCCTCTCTTTGGGGTTCCTGGCTCAGAGCTGAGGGCGGCAGGAGGCGCCGCCCCGGCTTCCCGCATGCAGCGCCGAGTGCTCGCCGCCCGGAGTACGGCCCGGGTCAGGCGACAAGCCCCAGGACGCGCCCAGGCGACCACCGCATGGCACCCTGCCCTTCTTGACAGGAGGGCTTCAGCTTCGGAGGTGGAAGTACCTGTTGTATGTTTCCCAATTCCGGAGTTCGCCAGGGGTCTCCTTGGGAAAATGTTCCTTCTGAACACGCGGTGTTCCTCTATAGTGTACACCTATTTGCGTTATGCGCATATTGAGAAATATGTGCCTTCGCTAAGGTTAGTTGCAGGGCCCAGGGACTGTGCCTGCCTGGACTTCAAATTCATTAATTAGGGCCCAGCACAGAAATGAGAGACTTCCCCAAATGTAGTGATTAAGTTATTTAGTTATGGGGACAGAATGCTGAGAAAGTGGCAACCTTCTCTTATAAGCAGATCTTATTTTATCGTGATCCTGTAGATTTGTTTCTTAAATGTGCCTTTTTTCCCCTCTTTCCACATACTTTCTCTCAGCACCTTGCAGAACAAGGAGTAGCTTGCTGGCTTTGAACGCGTGGCAAATATTTCAGAAAGGTAAAATGATTCCACTTGTGGATTTGACAGATGCAAAAAAAAAAAAAAAAAAACCCCACAATCAGATAACTTCAAACATTTATTCTAATAATAGGACCAATGGGTCATTTGATAATATGTTGAGAAATAAAGCAAAGTATTTGAAACGTGTAAGAAATAAATTAGAATGAATCTGCACTCTGACTAAAAGCGGAAATTAAGCCCTATT